TACTATCTTTGGAAACATTGAGTTGACATCATCTCCCCTCTCCTCCTCCTTCGTCTCTCTCCTCTCCCCCCATTCATTCCAGTCCCTGGCCCTTCGTCTCTTCTCAAGGCCAGGGCATTCACACCCGATGAATGTATGAGAGTTGTGCGATTGCAGTCCGAGTCAGGTCTKAGTCAATCCAAAGGTATCATACCCTTCCGCTGTATTTGTATCAACTCTGTATTATCTGGTCGGTTTTGGAAATATGCGCCATACTGATGACTTTGTTTCACAAGTACGCAACAAAGAGTTACACATAGAGTTGAATGAGCAATTGGACGAAAAAGACTTGTTATGCGCAATCCGTTTCTCATATTACTTACTGCATGAGCACAAAACGAGGTCCACGATAATATGGATATCTTTACAGAGGTAACACACCATGTGATTCACATATGAACTTCAAAGCTCAAAGACAAAAAGGAGCCCCATGCCAAAAGTGGGTACGGCTTAGACATCCTATCGGATGCCATCCAGGAGGTACTTCAAGCCCAGTGTCATTGGGGGCTTAACTCGCCACTACATCCGAGGCTGTTTTGTACAAGCCTCCCAAATGCCGCACAGCCAAAACAAAGACGAGCCCTAGTTCTTCTTTTTGCCTGGCGGTGCCAGCCATTGTGGTCTGGTGGTCCAAAACCCCCGAAACATGCAGGATATATTCTCACAGCTACAAGATTTGTTTGGGGCATGGTGGTTTAAAATTTGCCCAAAAGAAAACAGGCATCATTAAGACCTTTCTTTAGATCTTATTCTATCACACATCACGACGATAGAGCTAAGGAATCGAGATAAACACACAAAACCCCTGCAGTGTGGCCTTTGCATCGGATACTCACAATGCTGCCTTGAGATCTAGCCGCTGAATCGCTCAGAGCTCCCACAAACATCAATCGTGCATGAGGAGGTGCCATTTGTGTCTCTCTTGAGGATGGGGGTTGTCACATCCTGCTGAGAAACAGGGTCCGCAAAGAGGATCAGATCATAACCTCTCCATCTGAACTCAACTTGAAGAACTACCGATGACCACAATTGCATCATGTATCTCGAAAAGACCAACAACATATGTATTCATCCTCACCTACCTTTTTGCTGAAAGGAAAGCAGATCTAAGTTCTTTGCTTAAAAAAGGAGACAACCGCGACGTATAATCATTAGATTGACCGTCCCAGATCATTCACCTGATCACGTCAGGATTTGAGCTCAGGCATAAGCAGATCACCGGTGCACCATTCAGCCACATGGGACAGGTAGCAGATTTTAAATGATAAATTGTAATGAAGAACTCCCCCTAGAATTTATATAATCACATCATCAAGTAGGATGTGACATTCAACCTCACGCCCTGCGCTGTCTTCCGGTCGTAGTAATTAAAAATGGGGAATAGGAGCTGAAAGAACAACAAAATGGGGTGTGCCAATGAATTTTGGGAAAATTGAGTGCGAAGACCCCGACAGAAAAAGAATCTCCCGTGTGGTCCTAGTTTTAGCGAGAAATGGCCATCGCCACGCGGGAAGGAACAAGCGCGCGTGCGACTTTCGAACATAAGTTTAATCCAAAAAGGATCTCTAAACTTCCATGCAGGCTACTCGGCGTCTTTTCGAACGGAAAGGTGGGGCTATGCACATGTGTTACATGCCCGGTTGGGCAATGTAGGGGAGCCAAGGATCCGCAAAGTGATGAAAAGGACTGAAATGACAATGCAGTGTTAACGGAATATCAACAAGCAATCTTCGCCCCAATACATGCAAAATGGTACTTTGAGACACAGCGAAAGACTTGGATACGAATCCTGACTTGACAGGGACTGACATGACATCTTGTGATACTTCATACATGTGAGAAGAGGGCGAGATAGCAAAGTGTGGAGTACCGAACTGGTACGAAACAGAGCAAGATCCGACCTTTCACACAGAGTAAAAGATAGTGCAGCGGAATGCTAAGATATCAATGATCAACCCCAACCAATGTCGTACTACAGATCAACGTCCATCATCATCGTTGCAAGGTGTGAGAGCCCTGGCGCCATACATAGAAGAGTGCGCCAGGGCCAACCGTACACAAAAGAAGCGAGGGGGAGGAACAAACGAAGAGGAGGGGAGATGGGAGTGTTGTCGACACCAAGTCTTAGGTACAAGTCCCAAATAATCCCTCACCGGAAGTCTGAACCCCAATGTCGAGTTTGGTCTGAATGTCGTCAAATCCAAAGTCACAAGTCTCTCTTGTAGTCCGCAGATACCGAGAAGGTAGGTAGCGAGAGGGTAGAGAAGCGATGGTAGACTTAGAAGAGGAAGAAGAATAACTCTTTTTCTCACTCTCTCAGTCCAGTACTAACCTGTGAAGCTGGCGCCTTGCTGCAGGTATCTCGAAGATGGAGCTGGAGCTATGGTGCCACAGGTAAGTCACCATGTGAGCTAAGCGCCCTGCTGCAGGTTCCTGGAAGATGAAGCTGGAGCTATGGCGCCTCAGGTAAGCACTCCTGGCCTCCGCCAGGTATCTCCCTCCAACCTACTCTAACGCTACTCTACTGCTATAGCGCCCAGCGCTGAAGACTACTCTAATGCTGCTCTCCTGCAGCGCTCCTCCAGAGTGCTACTGCCAAATCCTGAAGACTACTGACTGCCACTGCCACTACCTCCCCGTGAAGTGCCTGGGAAGTCCTAAGTACTTCCCTGGCCTGCCTCYTGACTGCCTGCAGCTGCAGGTCGTGCAGTCCAGGAGGCTGCTCTTGCCAATGCCCACACGAGCCAGGGTCTGGAGCTGCAGCTGTCGTGGGAACAGGCCAAAAATAGCCTGTTCCTAAAACTCTGGTTCGGTGCGTGAGTTTCAGGGCAGGTTAGTCTGATGGACCGAAAATGGCCCTTCGTTTCAGGCTAAAAAGGCTATTGCCATTTTTAGTCTGAAAGGCCCCCGTTTTTCAGGCTTTCGAACTGAACAGACACGGGGCCTGTAGGCCCTGGTTTTCAGGCTTTCGGCCTGAATTTCAGGCTTTCAGCCTGAGGGACGCAGGGCCTAGAAAATCTCCCTCGTGTGCAGGCGCAGCATGTAACACATGGGATCTCGTTTTCAAATTAAGTCTCGGCGTCACTCACTACAGAGCTCGGAATCCGACGTGGAAGGCCGCATTCGGGTTGCTCTTTCCTTATTGCAATCAGACTAGTCTCATTCACACTTTTCATGCGTGTAAACAGCAGCACAGCAAACTGGCAACATGCGCCCACACAAAACTCAGAGATATGGCATCCAGATAAGAGTTCGCTTCCACTGGCTATGGCGACTCAGCGCCCAAACAACTCACTGTTCACACACCGGATCCCCTGGATATCCCACACGCATCACTCTGAACACGCACACCACACACACACACACTACTACAGCTATGGCAGCTATGGCTGCCTCTACCCTATCGCTATGCTACGCTCCTGGCCCACTTCGACTTYGGGCACACTGCAGACCTCCTTGCACAAGCCGCTGAGGCAGCGCTTCCGCATGGCTTCCGCAGGAATGAATGAATGGCTGTGCCCGGCCTCTTGATTTATACTTTTGTGACTCGTCGGTCTGCCCTTTCCCTTGGCCCATGGTGCACAYAGTCCCAGGCGGTACTTGCTTGACTGGACCGGACTGACTGGACTGGGACAGATGACTCTGCGCGGTGGACTTCCACCACTTGCACACTTGCCTCTGCCTAAACGTAGGCATCCTCGAAAGGCCACCACCGGGCCCTTGTAGAAGGCCGTGGACTTGGCCTTTCGGTCCTGTCGCAGCTACGACCTTGACTCTTCAAGACTGGACTAGCTACGACCTTGACTCTTCGAGAAACCTACAGCTACGACTTCTAGACCTGGTTGGACTCCTACTGGACAGGTCTACAGATGGAACCCCACGGCCTACGGACCCTACGACGACCTACCAACTGTTACGAAACACATAGGTCACGGGTTCAATTCTCGGCGGCTACACAAATACTGTACACAGGTAAGGTGAGGGCTAGGGATCGAACCCTGGGATCTGCRTCAGCTACTGCGAACTGGTGAATACCGTTTCATTATGCTCGTCCTCGCCACGTGTCCGGTAGTGGAACCCCTTTCTCAATA